ATAAACTTGAACTTGATTATAAACAAAAGTTAATAGGTGATAATTTTAAAATTCTATTTAAATATAGTCCAAAAATACATTTAAACATTCTGCTTTTAAACTCTATCACTAAATGTTCAAACAAAAGAAGAACAAAAAGAAAAACTTGAATATTATCATATTTACAAATCTGGCCATAGAGGTATAAATGAAGTGAAATCGTCACTTGGTACTAGATATTATTGGCCAAAAATGGCTAATGATATTGAAAATTTCATTAATAACTGCGAGACATGCTTAAAGAATAAATATGATCGAAATCCACAAGTACTAAAATTTAATTTGACACCCACTGCATCAAAACCCTTTGAACACATACATTTAGATACATTTTACTTTTCTAATAAATCTTATTTGACTATAATTGATTCTTTTTCGTTTTTCCCCTAGATAGTATAACGGGAATATCAGACGTAGAATTTATTTCACATCCGCAATACCACAAAAAATTACTACCGACAGTGGAAAAGAATTTAAAAATTTCGATTTAAAAGATTTTTGTAAACTACACCATATCCAATTACATATCACTACCGCAAAAAATAGTAATTCAAATTCCCCAGTGGAACGGTTTCATTCAAGTCTATTAGAACATTATCGATGTTTACAAGAAGAAAACAAACATTTTACACCAGATCGACTAATTAAAAATTCTGTATTTTGTTATAATAATAGTATGCATTCAGTGACAAAGTTCTCTTTGATTTAGACGATCACTTAATAATTTCTAATTATGTACAAGATCATAAGCAAATTAATAAACAAATGTATAACAAAATTAAACAACGTAATGAAGAAGTAAAAGAAAATTCAATAAACAAATTAAATGAAAAGAGATCTAAACCAGATAACTATTCTAAACAAAAGTCATGTTTTGTCAAAACAAAATCGAGAAATAAAAAATTACCAAAATTTAAAAAGGCAAATGTCACTTTACATTACATAATTCTATAGTTTCCAGCTCAGATATAAAAACATGATAAAATATTTACATAAAATATATAATGTTGATCAAATTCCGAAATTTACAAATTTATTACCGTATCAATTTCAGAGTCTAAGTTAACTTTTGCAATACATTTGTCTATTTTTGAAAGTAATACCTTTAAATATTATTAAAGAAAGCTTTCAAGTCACCCCTGGGCGTAGTTTGGATTAGTGATTTGATCTCTATCGTTTTTTTACCATTTTATTTTATATATCATTATTTAATAGAACAATTTTGAAAAACATACAGTCTAATTTTTCTCTACCTACTGTTTAGTTAGGCTATCAATTATTTCTTCTTGCTGAAAAATACATTTTTGGTCCTTCGAGCCAGATTCTTCTAGAAATTTATATTTTGAATGATTTTTTGAAGTTGTTTAATGAATAAGACATTTTTAACGGCTAAATTTTATAATTTATAATTAGGTATTATAAGGTATTTCCAAAGACGACAAACTTGCACACGTTTTCATATATATTGAAACAAATTTTACTGTTTACCTGTACACATCGGATATTATATACTAAAAACCTATAATGCTATAAAAATTACAAAAGCATAACTCTATTTTAGTATTACCTTGTATAATACGAAGTAAAAAAAACACAGTTTGATTTCTACTTCACTCACATTCATCAGATGAAGTGAAATGGCTTGAGATAACTGTCTAGACATACCTGCTAGTTATGTTATCACTAACGTATTAGGTTAAACATTGCATTGACTTATGGCCTTAGGATAAGATGAATAAAAATATTGTATATATAAAAGGGAGCACGCTTTATCTTAATTGGATCATTTCACCCATATTATGAATAGCATAAAGTAATAAAATAAATATATATACATATAACTAGGTATACGCTTCAATAAATTATATATTATACACACAGTAGGTACCTATTAGGTATATAGGTATTGTATAAATGTGTCAAATCAGATTAAGTATCTTCCTAGATATAGGAAATGATTGGAAGAGCATAAAGCTTAGATTATATTGGATTAAAGTAACCCTTATGTAAATTTACATAAATTAAATTTTAAATTTTTTAAGTTACACTCCTTTTAGTGAAACCGGAATTTTCATTTTCATTCTTATAATAAAATTGGTCCGGATGACGTTCAAACTGTCAATGTTAGTAAAAAAATGTTTTTAAGTTAATTTTCTCTTATGATGAATCCAAGCAAAATATTTATTACATGTCACAGCTTTGCCAGTAATTTTTGAATTGTGAACTCTGGATTCATAACCTGTTATAGTCTATTTTTATGTATGAGAGAGTAATAAAACAGCATTTCTAATGCAAAACTTAGTACGGTCATTTTAAATATTTTTACAGAATAATCTAAATATTTCCTAAAATTGTAATAAATGTACCTGAGCTATTACAAGTTTTGGGTCTTTTATTGGTCCTTTATAAACATAAGCTGTACAGAACAATAGAAAAAGGTTTGGATAGGCCAAAAGCCCTGTGTATTAAAGATTACATAGCCATATCTTAAGATTATTTTCAATAAGTACCTATTTGCCAATTTTGTTTTATTTTAATTCCAAGAATTTCTTACAGTAATCGAATTATAAGTAGATAAATACCTTCCCAACAAATTTCTCCGAAAATGCGATTATAGGTTTTCCATTTAGTAAGGAGGTCGAAGTTGTGTATTCTTGACAGTTTACTAAATGTCGTTTAGTTGCAACTTGCAAGGTGCAGTGTGAATTCTAGTGTGATCATGGAAAATTTGGAAGGGCCGCGTAAACGACAAAAAATCGGTCCTTTAACAGTTAATGAAAAAACATTAATATTTAATTGTTTTAAATCAATTATAGACAAACATTTATGTAAAAGTGTTGATGACACAGTGGAATTAGTTAGTAGTACGCTTGGTGTTGGGAAATCTACGATTTACAGAGTTGTTAAAGAAGAGAAATGTGGCGAGTTTCAAACAGCACGTAAAGCTCCAGGAAAACCAAAATTTCAATTAGAAAATCTTTTGAAAGAAAGACTTCGAAGGAAGGTGCATGCGTTCTTCTTTAGAAAAGAATTTCCGACAGTAGACAAAGTTCTTGCCACGGTTCGAGATGATAAGGATTACCCTGAAATGAGTCGAAGCACACTATGGAAACTTTTAAAAGAAATAGGTTTTCTATGGAAAAAGCATTCCAGAAAGTCTATTTTAATAGAAAGAAGCGATATTGTAGTATGGAGAAGAAATTACCTAAGGACTATAAAAGAAATGAGAAACCAAAGAAGAAATATATTTTATTTAGATGAAACATGGATCAACGAGGGACATAAACCAAATAAATTTTGGCAAGATGAAACTGTTACAAGTCGAAGACAGGCTTTTTAAAATAATTTATCTACTGGTTTAAATCCACCATCAGGAAAGGGGCGCAGACTAATAATAGTACATATCGGTAGTTCAAACGGTTTTGTTAAAGGTGGTTTATTGACTTTTGAATCTACTCGTACCGGTGCATGACTACCATGAGGACATGAATGCTGATGTCTTTAAAGAGTGGTTCGAACAAATTATAGATCTTCTTCCTCAGAACTGTATAATAGTAATGGATAATGCAAGTTATCACTCGAGACTTATAGAAAAAAATGCCCACAACCAAGTGGTTAAAAAAAGATTTACAGAATTGGTTAAATTCAAAGAATATTAAGTTCCATCCCTTTTCTGTGAGAAAAAAAAACTGTATCATTTGTGTTCCCTTCATAAAGAGAAATTCAAAAAATATGAAATTGATGAAATTGCAAAAAATCGTGGGATGACGGTGGTTAGATCACCACCATATCATTGCAAAGTAAACCCGATTGAACTGATATGGACACAGATAAAGGGAGAAGTTTCAAGAAAAAATAATTCTTTTAAAATGAGTGATGTTAAACAGTTGTTTTTGGAGGCTGTAAATAATGTGAAGCCTGAAAACTGGGAAAAGGCAGTAAATCATACGATTAAAGAAGAAGAGAAAATGTGGAAGTTGGACAATATTACTGATGAAATAATTGAGCCACTCATTGTAAATATTGGTTGCGACAGTTCATCTTCTGATTTCGATTCGGATTTGTAGGTAAGAAGTAGTTTTTATATTAAAATTATTATTTATGAACGTAACGTTGTTTAAAAGTCAAAGTTTAAACCCTTATAACTACATAACCCGTTTGATACAATGTTCTTAACATACCTTGTGGAAAAATAAAACATTTTAGAAAAATTGCACTTTTTTACCTTCAGCTGTTTAGAAGTTATAAGCAGGTTAATTAGGTGAAAATATGTGTATACTCGAGGAATAACTTCAAAAAATATTTTAACTGTCTACTAAAAGAAGCAGTACGCCTATGGATTACGAACGCTTTATTATTTTAATACTCTCTGTCATACATAAAAATAGACTATAGTATTATGTTAAACGAAAACAATCAAAAATCAATGTAGTCAAACAAATAAAACAAAGTATACCCACTATAAATTAATGAAATTTACTACTTCCAATAATACTGTCATACAAACTTTCACCCCATGTTTGGCCCTCCCCTTAAAATGTGAAAATCCAAAAACACTGAAACATGTCATTATTTATTTATGATCTGTAGTATTTCAAATTTTCATGTTTCTAACTTCAAAAGTTCCCCTACATTTCTCTCTTCATTTCGCCCCTTTAAAGTTAAAATTTTCCAAAACTCCTTCTTAAGGGATGCTTACGTTATAAAATAAACCTAGGTTCTAAATTTTAGCGTTCTAGGCCTAACAGTTTTGACTATGCGTTAATAGATCAGTCAGTCAATTAAAACAAACGATTTTATATACTTAGATTTCATTTTTTATTTAACATTCATTCAATCTATTTATCAATTCGTTTTATTAAATTTTTATTGTCTATCAAAAATTATAATATTTATATATTTATACATTTAATTAGAATTATCTGATATGCGTTATCTAATCATTAATACTTTAATTTTAAGAAAAATATCGTTTTACGGAGAATTGTTTATATTTTTAAAGTTTATTATGTTTAGTGCTATATTAAGTACCTTAATTTCATGCGTTTTAGCAGTAAGTACAAAAAAGTCTTTGTTCCTTTATTGCTTTTTAAAAATATGAATAAATGATTTGTAAAGTGGATACATACAGCATTGACGAAATTCAAAATGTATAGTAGGTAACAATTAACGGAATGGTAGTCACATAAGGGATCAATTGAAGTATATCTCTTTAAGTTTTTTGACCTAATTCTTGACAGCAAAATGACTTTTGAGAAATACGGCGACAGTGCACAAAAAAAAAAAATTCAAATGTATTTCTATTCTTTTAAGACAGCTTACAAATATAATTTTTGACTGTTTCTATTTTTACATATCCTACGTGATTTTTTTAAAAACATTGAAACATTGAGAAGTAACTTTTTAAAACTTAATTCGTGCAGTTTTTAATGAAGAGACAACATTTAATCAATATAGCATTGGGAATTATGCACATATTAACAAATAGGGTGTATATTTGAATAGAAAATGGACTTCCATCAAAATTTACTTTGAGTTATATTACCGTTAACGATTGTTGAGTACAATTTAGAAGACATACTCTCTCAAGCTATGGAGGTTATGATTGACGACCTATGTTATTTTTAACAGACACGTTATGTGTTAAAAATAACATAAGTCGTCAATTATAACCCCCTATATCTACCTATCACGCTTTAACAGACATTCATTTATAACGCATCAGCTGTTCGAAAAGGTTAAATAAAACCTTAAAATTACTGAGCAGTACTTTTTGCTATACAGTTAGTAAGATTCATTGGCTATTTTCCTAGCAACATTGTTTGCCAACACAGCTTCATTTTTGGCATTTTATATTGTTATAATAATTGTATTTGATTCTAATGAATTTTTAGGCAAATATTAATCCAGCAGAACGATATTCAAAATACAGGATAACTGGTGGAAATGAGGCAGTTCCACATGCATATCCATATCAAGTTGCCATTATAATTGATTCAACACAATTTTGTGGTGGATCTCTCATATCTTCAAACTATGTTCTCACAGCTGCCCACTGCGCTACTGAGTAAGTATGCACTTGGAGTTCTTAGTGACTGAAAATCGCGAGAATGCAACAATTTTCGTACTACCAAAGATCTGCAGTATTATTTACATGGAGCTGTTTATAAGATGATCCCAGTCAGTGAATTTAGAAGTATAGATAAGAATTTAGATGAACTAAAGATCTTTCTGCATGAATTAGATACCCATTGTGATTGTTTAGTATTGACTGAAACTAGAAAATTACCGAATCCTAATTTATATAATATACCAGGTTATGCAATAATTTACAATAAAGGTAATTTTAATCAAAATGATGGCACTGTAATATACATAAAAAATGATTATGAGTTTGAACATGAAATTATAAATATAGAAAACATACAATTTTTAAACACAAAAATCAAATTTGAACATAATATTATAAATATTACTGCCTGTTATAGATCACCTTCCACTGACATCAATGACTTTATACAAACTTTACAAACATATCTTGAAAGAAATCAAACAGATAACAACTACTGTATTTTTATTGGTGATATTAACATAAACTTATTAGAAAACAATAACAATACAATTGAGTACATAAGCACACTAAACGAACACGGCTACATTTCCACTATTAATAAACCTACTAGGGGTAAATCATGTCTCGATCATATTTTTATTAAATCAAAAAACTCGGAAACCTCTGATATGATTTTGCCCTTAATTGTTACAACAAATATTACAGATCATGCAACGGTAATATTACAAATAATAACTTGTAATAAATTAAAAAATAATCCCAACAATAAATTTATTAAATATCTAAATCATACTAAAATTAATAAAATATTACAGATGACTACTTGGGAGGCAATATACTCTGAAACAGATCCAAATGATGCAACTAATATCTTTATTAATATTATTCATGAAATTACCCAATTATGTACAGATACAAAAAAAGTTTTAAGAATAAATACCAAAATAGCACCATGGATGACGAACTCCTTATTAAAAATAATTAATGAAAAAAATAAACTATACAGAAATTTAATAAAACATCCAAATGATAACTATATAAAACAACTATATAAAAATTGTAAAAATAAACTAACTAATTTAATAAATAAAACTAAACAAAATTATTACAAACAACGAATACAATTAGACAATCAAAATACGAAACGGTTATGGAACATTGTACGAGAAATTACAGGCACTAACACTAAAACAAAAACTATTGGCCCTATAAAGAACGATAACGGAGAACTCCTCATAAAAACTGTTGACATGGCTAATGAATTCAACACAAAATTTATAAATATGGGTTATAACCTTGCAAAAGACATTAAAAAAAATTCAAAATGTATTCCTAGTATCACAGGTTTACCGAACTCTATTGTTTTAACACATACTGATGAAAAAGAAATATTATTTCTTATTAAAGAACTCAAAAATAACAAATCCGTCGGAACTGACGAAATCAAAGCAGAACTTCTAAAATCTGTTGCAAATAATATAGTAAAACCACTTAAATATATTATAAATAAATGTTTAGATTCTGGTGTCTGGCCGGATGTATTTAAGGAAACAATTGTGTGTCCCATATATAAAAAAGGCGATCGAACATCAGCCAGTAACTATAGACCGATTTCTTTGATTACTCACTTATCAAAAATATTTGAAAAGATTTTAAAAAACAGGTTAAATAGCTTTATTAATAGATACGACCTAATCTCTAAAAATCAATATGGCTTTAAAGAAAAAGTTTCAACCGAAGATGCCATACTTACACTAACAGAAAAAATTCATGCATCACTAGAAAAAGGTAAACCTTGTCTTTGTCTTTTTATTGACCTTAGCAAAGCGTTTGACACTGTTGATCATTGTTTACTATTAACAACTTTAGAAAGAAACGGAATAAGAGGAAATTGTTTAAACATTTTTGAAAATTACCTTAAAAAAAGAACACAATTAGTTAAAGTGGGTAACGATCTCAGTGATCGTCAATATATAAAATGTGGTGTGCCCCAAGGCACTGTTTTGGGCACTGTCTTATTTAATTTATATGTTAATGATTTATTTAATCTCAACAGTGCTGGAGACATTATTGGATATGCCGATGATACAGCAATTTTTTATGAGGCGGAAACCTGGATTGAGCTGAAAACCAAAGTTCAGCTTGATTTTCGTCTTATAAAAAACTGGTTCGATCAAAAGTTATTGACAGTTAACCTAGACAAAACAAATTTCTTACCGTTTAGTTGCAATATTACCGGCTTTTCGCCTTTTGAAATACTGGAAATTCAGTCACAGGAAGACGTGATAAAAATCAAATCTGTAACTGAGACTAAATACTTAGGGGTATATATAGATTCAAATTTAAAATGGGACAGTCACGTAAATTTTGTGATAAAAAAACTGCAAATGATCTTGTATAAATTTAGACAACTAAAAAAATGTTTACCAGAAACCCAATTAAAAAAATTATATTTCGCCTTGGTCGAAAGCCACATAAGGTATGCAATTCCAGTTTGGGGAGGGGCTTTAAGGGTGCATCTAAATCCTTTAGAAACACTGCAAAAAAGATTTTTAAAGTTAATTACGGGAAAAAAATTTAGATATGCTTCAGACAGTTTATATTCTGAAACTAAAGTACTAGACCTAAGACAACTATTTTATTTTCAAACAAACATCAAATATCATTTTAGTACTAAGAAAGCCTCTAGTCATAAACACAGCTATAATACGCGTAATAATAAAAAACTTACTTATCCAGTAATACTAAAAAAGTCAATTTCACAACGAGCTTACTCTTACATTGCTGTAAAATTTTATAACTCTATTCCTGAACCATTAAAAAAAGTAAACAATACAACCATGTTTAAAAAAAAACTAAAATTATTTATTTTAGAAAGGTCAAGATTATTTACACTAGATATTTTAGAAGAAACTAAATAATACAAACACAATCATAAAATAATAATAGTAAAATAATAAACAAAATATAAAAATTCAAATAATAATAAAAAAAAAACAATAAAATTAAAATTATCAATACTTACTGGATTAACAAACTAATACATGGATTTGACACACTACTGGACTTGACACAACCCAACTTGACACATTATTATCTGGATTAGAAAAACCCATATTATATACCAAGTCACGACAGACTAATATGTATAATATATTATTTTTTTCTCGTTCTTTTTTGATTTGATTTAAATTATGCCCAAATTGTAAATTGTATAATATTTTATTTTAAATGTGTAGTATATATATATATATATTATTGTATATGTATGTATATATTTACCCTTATGTGTATGTATGTGTGTATATATATGTGGATATTTTAATATTTATTCGTTATATTACAGCGAAACAAGTACAGTAGTACTTATCGCTAAATACTTTATTCATTTATGCGTCTGAAATTTTTTATGTAATTCTTTTTTTTTATGTGTGAATAAAGGTTTATTATTATTATTATTATTAATTAAATATATACTAAAATAGAACATCACCTTTTAAAAGATCACAGCTACGTTGAAACACTTGTTTCAAAAGACCTCTAGACATTCTTAATATTTCAACATGTTCCAAAAAATCAAACAACGAATTGTTACCATCATAGTATACACCCCATTTATGAACATCTACACTATATGAAGAACAACTAACTTATTTTGTAGATAAAGTACTAGAGTTAAAACTAGAAGAATTGTTATTAATTTTTTCTGATAAATCAACTTTTACCATAATTATTTTTGTTTTTATTGTGTTTTGAGCCGTAGCTTGCTTATCAGAGTCTGCTTTTAAATTAGCTACCCTGAACTAATCTAGAACTAATTCGTTTATAAGCTGGATCAGATTTATTACCAGTAAAATTTTCTATTTCTGTATTGACTTCTTTAATTGACAATTCCACTTCTGTGATATCCTCTGTATGATTATAAGGATTATTTTTCTCTAAAAAACTCCTATTGTGTAACTCTTGAGATAACAAACTACTCAAAACCTTTCTTCTTTGTTCTGCAGTGGAGGGCAAGACTAACCCTCTGATTAAAATTTCAAAGTTTAACTCATGAGTTTTTAAATGTTTTGAAATCATTTTAATAAAGAGGAAAATATAAAAAGCAATATATTTAACTAAATAAAGGCACTAATCAACTTTAGGTAAAAATCCATCCACAAAATTTTGAAATTCCATACACAAGCTACTAATCATTACAAAATACAAAAGGGCTAACTTAAAATTTTTTTCAGGATCTACGTTAAAGCAGAAATAATCCTTGGAGCGCACAACGTTTCAGATAAAGAATCCACTCAAGTTCATAGAACAGTTTCTAAAATAATAATCCATAAAAATTTTAATTACACCAGTTATCAGAATGACATTGCATTGCTAAGACTGTCTAAACCAGCTCCAATCAACGCAGCTATAAAAATCGTACAATTGATCTCGAAAAAAGACGCTACAAAAACATTTGTTGCTCAAACAGTAACAAGCACAGGATGGGGTTTAACACAGGATATCTCAAATCCATCAATTAAAAATATGTCTAACGTTTTAATGGTTGTGAATGTATCGGTTATAGAATTGAAGATATGTAAAATTTACTACAAGGATCAATATACTCATATTGATTATGTGACAGGAAAAAACATTTGTACTAGCGGATGGAAAAAAAGAGGAACCTGCAGCGGTGATTCGGGAGGACCGTTAGTTTTGGATGGTGTTCAAATTGGAATAGTTTCTGCCGGTGCAGAAAAGTGTGAAATTGGAGCGCCATCTGTTTTTACCCATATTGGGAAGTATCTAAGTTGGATACAAAAGCATTCTGATGTAATAATTATATAAATTAAAATATTTTAAACAATTTAAGAGTGTTTTTTATATAAAATTCAATAAAACAAGTACATAAAGTAATTTTTTACAAGAAAATTACTCAAAGAGGCTTAAGTACTCTCTGGTACCGTTACTGTTCTAATGTTCTATTAAATAATTTCTTATTACTACTTACTCTGAAAGTCTTGATGTATTATTTATTTATCTAAAGGCAAAAATAAGACAAATAGTTCCTACCAACCTGGATCCACAGATCTCTTATTTCAAAAATACAGGGTTATATAATTTTCTTTTTGTTTATTTTCCCGAAAGGGCTTTAACGTTTGAAAGAAATTTACGTTGTAAAATGAAAAAGGTAAACAAGTTTATAATAATTTATTAATCCATCTAGATATGAAGGAAAGTGAAATAATTTTTGGTCTACCTAGATTTGCAAAATTTCCAGCAACATGTAATAAGTTTTGTCCATCTAGATTGAAATAGTTTTAAAAATTTTATTCACCTAGATATGCAAAGTTGTAATAATTAAATACCCTGTATGTTATAGCTTAGTTTGTTTAATAGATTTATAATAGTTATCATTTTAATCTCCTTCCAATATATATCTTGTGTAAACCAAAATCATACTCCAACTTCTTTTCTTTTAGCAGAAATATTCTTCTATTACGCAAAAACCATGTTTATTAAAAATGTCAATTTAAGAAAATATATCCACTTACCTTTACATTTTCCATGAATCTGTTTCGATCTTGCTCCAATCAACACTTGAGTAAGACGTTTCTGTAGAGCCTGCTTTTCTTTGTATCTGCAGGAAAAAAACAAAAAATGAATGTTATATAAAAAATTCACTCTATATATTATTTAATAGTAAATTCTCTAGAGTTAAATAATGCTTAGTTGCAATTCCTAGAATGGTTATCATTAACCTCTAGGATTGTATTCAGCCAAGTTGCATTTTCTTGTAAATGCAACACTTTTGTCACATTACACCTTTTAGATATTTCTTTTGTTTTACCTATGTTATAAATAAGGATGACACATTAAAAGTCAGTTAGTTATAACAACTCACCTACTACAAACACATTATACCTTTTAAGTAATAAAATATTTTTTTAAAAAACTAATAGTGTTATTCAAGATATAACATGAATGACGAATTACAACAATATATGTCAAAATAGAAGTTATTTATACTTTTCTTATATAATTTTATTAATTAATATTTTTATTAATGAATTGTCTCATAAGTTTAGATGTTCTTTTATCATTAAATGTAAGTATGCTTATGTCAAGTCAGTGGACAATGAGTATTCAACAAATCTACTTATTATTATGATAATAAGAAGGATAAAAATGTAAAAAAGAAGTAGGAATACCATTGTATAAGTAGTTCTAGTAGGTCATTGAAGGGTTTGAGGAGTTCGAGAACAAAAAAAGGAAGCCAATTTTTGCTGGAGAAGCTTTAGTGTATTTTCCCAATGAAAAATTCCAGTAGCTTTTTTTCCTAACCCAAAACGGTGTCGAAGCTTAATCCCTCGAAACTATTACTATTAAAGGTTTAACACACATTCGAGGCTATATTTGGAACCTATAGGGATAGTGTGTGACTTATCTACAGTTAACCAAAAAGTCTATAGGCATTACTGTAGACAAATCTAAATTTGGCATAGTAAAAAACAATTCCTTTGCATTTTTTATGTGCCTGACCTAGTAAAATGCGTTCGAAATAGGTTTTTACAAGATTATTTTATCTTCAATGGCAAATTTATCAGATTTGCTGATGTTAAATAGGTTTATGAACTGGACATTATTTATTATTTATTAACTTTTAACTTTGTACTTTGTACTCTTAATCGAATTATTTGAAATAAATCTCTTTTATAATAATTCACTTAGCTTTAAGTTTTAAAATATATTAGCATGTTTTCCAATTATTCCAGAACTCTGGGAACCCAGGTCAGGAGGTTCCAAAGTACTTTGGTCATAGCAGAACATAACAATGAGGTTCTTTCTCCAATTACCCAAAATGCTATAACAGCAGCTAAGAAGCTAGGTGGTGATATATCCGTTCTCGTAGCTGGTACCAAATGTGGACCAGCTTCCTCATCTTTGACAAAAGCTGGAGGTTTATCAAAAGTACTAATCGCCGAAAATGAAGCCTTCAAAGGATTTACTGCAGAAAGTTTAACCCTATTAATAATTAATGCTCAAAAACAGTTTAGATTCATACATATTATAGCTGGTGCCTCGGCTTTTGGAAAGGCACTGTTACCTAGAGTTGCATCTAAACTAGATGTTTCTCCAGTATCTGATGTTATTTCCATTAAAACAGCAGACATATTTGTCAGAAGTATTTATGCAGGTAATGCTATGTAAACCTTGGTGGTTAAGGACGGTATTAAGATTTTGACTGTGAGGGGCACTAGTTTTGAACCAGCTTCTCTTGATGGAGGTTCAGCAACTACAGAAAATATTTCAGCTGATGGTTGTCAGCCAAGAACTTAGCAAGTCTGACAGACCAGAACTAAGTGGTGCGAAAGCTGTTAGTGCCGGTCGTGGCTTAAAGTCAGGGGACAACTTTAAACTCTTGTATGATCTTGCTGATAAGTTGAAAGCTGCTATAGAAGCTTCTTGTGCTGCTGTAGATGCTGGATATGTTCCAAACGATATGCAAATTGGACAAACAGGAAAAATTGTTGCACCAGATCTATATATTGCAGTAGGTATCTTTGGAGCCATTCAACATTTGGCTGGTATGAAAGACAGCAAAACCATTGTGACCATTAATAAGGACCCGAAGTTCCCATCTTCCAAGTAGCTGATTATGGACTTGTAGCTGACTTGTTCAAAGCTGTTCCAAAACTAACGCAAAAATTGTAATTTTGAATAATATGAGAGAGTCTGTTGTAATGTTTTTAAATAAAGTATATTTTGTAACCTCTGAACGTGTAGTTATTTCCCCCAAGAAAGCTAATAATTATTGTAAGAGGCTGGTACTTAGATTTATTTAAAAATCTTGTCTTTTATTAATTATAATAACATTATTTTATATTACCAATTTTTTTATACAAACTACCTGCCTATATTCTATTAAAAACTATAAATATAATAATTTCGTAAATTACGGTCCTGGATAACAAACGTTTATACGATTTTATTATTTCCATCATATTTATACGAGGATAAATGTTAAATACCTACCGATGGCTTGAATTCACGCTAAACATGAAATATGCGTAATATGGTAGACCATCAACTTAAAGATCATCTAAGCGACTTCTAATACATCGTAATTATAAAGCTGGTAAACTATTATTTGATAGTTGTCAGTTTTGTTAAATATAAACGATGTACGATCTAAAAAATTCGCAAAATGACAACGTTGTATGGTTGAACAAACAATCCCAACTTCTTTTACCGGCATCTAGAAAACTATTTTCTGCTTACGACTTTTTTAATTTGTGCTACTGTCCGCTTGGAACCGCCATGTGACGAGCATAATAAAATCAAACTTTGTCATGGTAATACTAATCATTTAAGTTAAATAGCTTCAATTCTTATGTGTTCACATAATTTGTACGTTTACTACACTATATAGGCATTAATTTATCTTAAAGTATACTAATATTGAGTTCTTTATTATATTTTTATATATATATATATATATATATCTATATATATATATATATATATATATATATATATATATATATATATATATATCTTACTATAGATAGAGCGTCCGTACATTCTTAAATCGCATTCATTGGAGCGTCCAGGTATTTAGAGCGTCCGTATATAGACGCTCTAAGACGGTGCCCATTAAAAATTTTTCCAGAGGTCTATAATGACGTCAGAAACGTGATGGCAAAATTTTTGAGAGACGCCAAAATGATGAAAAAATGCATGAAAATAATACGGCTCGCGTATACTTTAGTTCAATACTATTGCTACCAGAGGCACTTGCAGCGCTGATGTATATAGAAAGTATACGATTTTCTTGATACCCATTCGATTCTAGAGCGTCCACTGACTTGGCATCGTTGCTTTGGAAGCTAATGTTGTAAAATAAATTAAAGTTGATTTAATAATCTTAGTTGGCCTGGTAGAAGTCTTAGTATATTATAAAATTTCTCTCAAGAAGCCGTCCGTCCGTCCGTCATTTTTTGTGAGCGTTTAAAGGGGATTGAAAATTCAAAAAATCGTAAATCAAAAACGAAAAACAATATCAACTTGAAATTTTTAAGAAAAATCAAACTCTATAAGTGGACAAAATGTGTTGATTATGAAAAAAATCTAATAAACAATGGGGGGTTTAAGGGGAGTTAAAACCGAAACATATCAACATGAAGTTTTTTAGAAAAATCAAGCTCTATAAGAAGACAAAGGCTATTAATTAAAATAAAACGAATAAAAATTGGAACTTTAAAGGGAGGGGGGGTGGATTTGAAAAAAATATAAATCAAAATTGAAAAACAATATCAACTTTTTTAGGAAAAATCAAAGTCTATAAATCAAGCTCTATGAGGGGACACCGAATATTGATTATGAAAAAAAATCTGATTAAAAATAGGGGATATAAGGGTGGGGGTGGAAACTTAAAAAAACATTATAAATCAAAATCGAAAAACAATATCAACTTGAAATTTTTAGGAAAAATCAATTTTAAGAAAAAATCAAGCTCTATAAGGGGACAAAGCATATTGATTTTGAAACAATCTGGTTAAAAGTGTTAAAAAAAAATCATAAATCAGAAACGAAAAACAACTTGATATTTTTAAGAAAAATCAAACTCTATAAGTAAACAAAGTCTGTTGATTATGAAAAAATCTAAAAAACAATGAGGGTTTAAGGGGGGTTAAAATATAAAAAATCATAAGTTAAAACAGAAACATGATAACAACATGAAGTTTTTAAGAAAAATCAAGCTCTATAAGAAGACAAAGGCTATTGATTAAAAAAAAAAACGAATAAAAATTAGGGATTTAAGGGGAAAGGGGGTGAAATTTAAAAAAAA